TTTTTTTTTTTTTTTGGCCATATTCACTTATCTCACTTAACCTCCTAGTTTTGTTTACAGAATTGAAGTATCTTCCTAAACATATAAATAGTCATTATACCCATGGTTCCAAAGGGAAATTCAAGCAGACGTTAAGCCTCATTATTTCTGAATCCAAAGTCAGTAGGCAGTTGCTGGAGCAGCAAGGCTGAAGAATGCTCCTAGTTCCCACCCAGAGGATGAAATAGTCCCGAGAGACTCCATGAGGCCTCATCTGGAGGATGCTAGGGATCAGTTTGGGCCATCTCTGTGTTATGGGTATTCTATAGTACACAAGCTTCTTAATAAAGTTGATCATTGTTGGGCTGGACATACCTGTCATGTTCTTGACCCATTTTTCTCCAGAGGTGGGTCCATTTGCAAACAGAATCTTGATCTGATCTAGGGTCCAAACTGAACTGGAGATAAACCCTCATGATGACCTCAGGGATGACTCAGCAGTTACTAGTGTAAATACAACTGGATCAAGTCCAAACCAGGAGCACATGTTACCTCCAAAAGGATACACACCTCTGTGCTGTCTGAGGAAGACTTCTATAGGCCCAGCTAAAAATTACTTTACAGGCTCCCAAAGTGTGTGAGGAAGGACAGTTGCATAATCTCCATCTGTTTCTATAGCAACCCTGGAACCACCTTTCATTGCAGGAGGTGCTGCTCTTAATGCCTGCCTTTTAAAACAAGTGCCACAGGTCTCTACCAGAGAAGTATCTAGGTCATTATCTAAAGTGCTGCTTTGCTTGCTCTTTGTGAGAAGGCTGTAGGAGAGAGTGCTATTATCTACTGTTAGACATTTCGGGCCAGGTGTACACACTACCGCACTACTGCTCCCCTTGCCCCCAGGAGTGAGGAGAGGAGAGGAGAGAGAAGGGGGTAGAAAGGTGAAAACACGGGGAACTACAAAATATACTTCCTCAGTTGGTCATTCTTTTCTCTTTGGCAAGGGCACGGAAAATAGCTGCCCACTATATGGGTTTCATTCTGAGGCCCCCTAGGCCTCTAGAGTTTGAATGCAATTGAATAGTTTGGCAAGGCCACTAAATTTGACTCCTAGCCTTGATCTTTGTTCACAGTGGGCCATGGAACCTAATGTCAACCATTCTCCCTCTGTCTTCTGTCCATGTAAATATAATAGAACAAAAAAATCAGCCATATGAGTACTTAAAATAGGCCTTAGAAATAAGCTACTCTGGGCTCCTCATTTTACAAATTAAGAAAAGCAGCAGTCCAGAGAGACAGAGACTTTTCCCCCCAGACAGCTAATTAATGGTGGGGCAAGAATGAGAACCCTGATCTCCTACCAACTTCCAGAACACTTCAATCTTCTCTGGGATGCTAAGTAGAAGAGAATTGAAAAATAAAAATGTTAAAAGCAACACACATACACAAGAACAGTCCTTTGATATGAAAGCTGAGCTCTGTCAAATGATAAAAAATTAGGTGCTAAAGATGGGATAGAGAAGCACATTAAAACATTTGTCCACATCTGCCCCATTGAAGGTGGTTAGTGTGGGAGCTAGCCAGTGAGTTGGCCAAAACTCCTGGTGAGTCAGCAGGATAAAAGAACCATCAGAGCAGGGTCTTGGAACAATCCAGAAAGTTGTTCCCTGGACTTCAGTCAGACCTGTGGAGATTCATCACTGTCAGCCTTCTGACTCTGCCAGGACTACAGCCAACCCAACCTTTGGCACCTGAAATCACTTGCTCTTTGGAGGAAAACACATCATAGAACTAATTCCAGCTGCTTTCACCACACAAGGGCAAAATTTGTGCAAGATCTAAAGAGTCAATGACGTGGCATCTTTGCAGATGAGCAAGTCCGATTCCTCAAACCACAGTTCATTTCTTTTTACCATCTGCTCTTTCCCAATTTTCAGAATTGGAACCCCAAAGAAAGTAAGACTAAGAATACTTTTGCACCCACCATAAATGCATTGAATCAAGGCATCTGACTCTTTTATAATTTGATATGTAGTTCAATATTATTTAGTACTATAAGGACTACTGTCACTCAGTGTATGTTGTTGGCTGCTGTTGAGTTGGCCCCCAACTCATGGTGACCCCATGCACAAAGAACAAAATGCTGCCAAATCAAACCCAGTCTCCTCCATGGGAAGCAAGAATTCTACTACTGAGCCACTAATTATCCTTGCACCCAATCTACACAGCTACTGATAAATTATAGGGCAAATGGTGATGGTCAATTCCATGGAGACATGGCTCACAAGAGCACTTCCACCATGAATGACACCAGTCGCTGCTTTCTCAGTCAGAGGCAAAGACAGTTTAGCACTAAGCTCAGTTCTCAAGCCAAGTTGCCAAGATAAAAATAAATTTCTACACCTCTTTTTTACTTCAGAATCCCAGAATGCTCTGCTCAGATCACCCTTCACTGCCATTAATAGCTTGATTTTCTGGAAGAAGGAACCAAAGAGAAATACAGTGAGACTTGCTCCAGATGACCTAAGAGTTGTTGAGTGACTTGAAATTTGGAATGGCCATTTCCATCACGATAACAGCCGAAGTCCTACACAGGAAACTTGGAGTCAGTGTGTGTAATCACAATAGGCAGGCACTAGAGAACCTCTTTTTAAAGAAGTTTCTTTCCTCTAGGAAAAGCACCAGTCTGGAGATCATATCCTATAGGATGGTCTGAATTATTCCCTACTGTAGTTTAGTTTAGGGAGCTGTTTATAAATTAAATTAAATACCTGGAACAATCTGTAACCTGCTCTGCAAATCATAGGGGAAAGAACCATTAAACTTAGAAGATCTGGGTTTGAGAGTCGGTTCTGCCATGACCAACTCCCTGACATTTAACAAGTCCCTTTATCTGGGACTCAGTTTCCTCATTTGTAAAATTGGGATAATTATATCTACTTGATCTATCTCATAAGGCTACTTAAAGATTTTTTTTAAAAATTCTAGTTAGATGATATGTATGAACACATCTTTTATAGACAATGGAATGCTATATAAATGTCAAGCGGTATTGTATACTGGCTAAGAGGTTCTAAAGTCATTCTGCCTGAGTTCAAGACCTAGCTTCTGTGTTTGCTGGCTGTATGACTCAGTTTTCTCATCTATAAAATAAACGTAATGGTAATACTTATTCCATGGTGTTGGTGCAAGAATGAAATGAGATAATCCACATAAGAGTGTTTAGCATTGTGCCCGGCATATAATAAATGTTCAAAATTATTACACAAAATACCAGCAGGTTCTATATATATGTTAGCTCTTCTTCCCTTGGTCAAGGAATTTTGTGCACATTATACAGGCTGCTCCAAAGGTTCTTAGTACAGTTCTAAGCTTTCATAATATGAGAATTATAAATGATACCTAACCAAAACCAAACCCGTTGCTGTCGAGTCAATTCCGACTCATAGTGACCCTATAGGACAGAATAGAACTGCTCCATAGGGTTTCCAAGGCTGTAATCTTCATGGAAGCAGACTGCCACATCTTTCTCCCTCGGAGCGACTGGTGGATTCAAACCACTGACCTTTCAGTTAGCAGCCGAGTGCTTAACCACTGCACCACAAGGGTTCCTTATAAATGATATAAACTTCCAAAATTCAAAAGTTTAATTATCTACATTTTATTTATACTTATTTAGTTTTGTAAATTTTAAAAATAAATGTTCAATGTTTTGTTTCAGTCCGCATGTGCCATCTTCAGTCAGAGGAAGCTCTGCTTCCTAGACTAACCTAAAATGATTGGTTTGGGGCAAAAGCAACCAAAGAAAATTCTAGCACACAAAATGTATGTTCCTAATTTCCATTCCA